TCTCAACCCTAGTTGCACATTAAAACCAACTGCGGAACTTTAAAAAGCCCTGATGCCTGACCCTTACCCTGAACCAACTGATTTGAATCTCTGGAGGTGTGGTGCCAGGCATCTGTAGTTTTTTAAAGTCCCCCAGGTAATGGGCTGTGTTGGGAGGAGGAGGAGGGAGAGTTTAGAAAGGGGCATGAGGAGATGTTTGGGGGTGATGGGTATATTTGCAATTTGATTGTGGAAATGATATCATAGGCAAGTATAGATGTTACAGCTTATCAGACTGTACACTTCAAGTGTGTGCAATTTATTGCATGTCAATTATACCTCAATAAAGCTGTTTAAAGGAAAAGCTCCCCAGGCGATTCTCACACACAGCAACGGTTGAGAATCACTGTTCCAATAGAAAGAGCACATGACTGGAAGTGGAATTTGGAGAACCTTTCATCTGCCAACAGTTGGCTCTGTACACATGGATAAGTGACTGAATCCCTCCTAGATCTCAGTTTCATTCTGGTTTGTGGGTTTAATTTTTTTCCTCACGTACTTTAAAAATAGTGGTTATACCATATTGAAACCCAGGGTTAGAGATTTTGTTCATTAGAAAGATGTGTAATTATTAAATGTACAATGAAATGTTACTTGAGCACTTCTGCATAATTTTTAGAAAAGAAGATACTATATAGATAAAATTTGCCTTAGCTTTATTTTTTCTTTACATAGGGTTTAACTTTTTAGCGCGTTTGATCTTTTTTAGTGCTGAATTTGCTTATGCTAGTGCTAGATTTTTTAAATTGCAATAATTGGTATCTAACTTAAGAGAAACATGTTCTGTTCTACTTGGATCATCAATAATTGTTTTAGGGTTGGTAGGTTGTTGATATTATTTTCTGGCCAGGTAGCTGATGCACTTCCCAGCACGGCCACACGAGGGGGCAATGCGGCTGGCCACCTCTTCCTCTCTACTGACATCCTTGTTAGGTCAAAATAGTCTGGTCAGGATCTTTCTGTTCCTTTTGTCCTCTTGGTGAGTGAGAGCCCCACTTCTGAACCATCATTTTCAGCTACCCCAACCCAGTGGTTTTGCTGCAAGTGAGCCTTTCTTTAAGCAAAGTAAATCCATGAATCTCTCAATGTACAAAATAGCTTTTAAAAAGACCACCAGCCCTGGCTGGTGGACTTAGTTGGTTGAGTGTCATCCCATGCACCCAGAGGTCACCGGGTTTGATTTGGGTCAGGGAACATGCCCAGATTTCGGGCTTGATTGACCCCCAGTAAGGGGCATGCAGAAGGCAACTGATCGGTGGCTCTCCATCATCAATGTTTCCCTCTCCCTCTCCCTTCTTTCTAAAATCAATAAAAACATATTTGAAATTTCCTTTTAAAAAGGACCCCCCAGATTGCTTTGAAAATATCCAACTCCCGCAAAACAATTAAAATAGGACTTAATTGAAGTGTATGTGCATGCATATGTATATATGTACATATATTGTACATATGTATCTATCAGTAAGCATATATATATATATATATAAAGAGCCAGGGGCTGTCACATCCGAAACAACTGAATGGACAACTGATGGGAGGCAATTGGGTGTGAGAAGGTCGGTGGGGGGGGCAGTTGGGGGCGAGCAGGCTGGCAGGCAGGGTGGTTAGGGGCAATCAGGCAGGCAGGCAGGCAGGCAGGTAGGTGAGTGGTTAGGAGCCAGCAGTCCGGATTGGGAGAGGGATGTCCGACTGCCAGTTTAGGCCCGATTCCTAAACGGGCAGTCAGATATCCCCAATGGGCAGTCAGACATCCCCTGAGGGGTCCCAGATTGAAGAGGGTACAGGCTGGGCTGAGGGGACCCTCCTCCGCCACTGCATGAATTTTGTTCTTCGGGCCTCTAGTTAACAATAATACTCTACCACCCCTAGGAAAATGATTCATCCATATAAAAAGGCGGTTATCTGTTTGTTACAGGTGCAATTTCAAGATTCTTCAGGGAACAGACATTGCTTAGGTGAAAAATAGAATCAAGATTAGCAAAGAAGCCGAGTCATTTTTCCATTGTAATGTGATATAAAGTACTTAAATGGGTAAACATATGAATGTGTGTTTATCTGTGTATGTGTGTTTACATACACTCAGATGAATAGGTTGGCTAAATGTTTTAGAATAGAATCTATGCAGACACTCTGGGTATTTATCTCTGGACACTGAAAAAAATATGGATGCCCCAGAAGAGATTGGCTAGAACTAATGTTACAAAATGATCTATGTCCTAAACTTTAGTAAATGCATTATTTTACAATTCAGCTCAGAAATAAAAAGCAAATGCCTTTTTGAAGTTCAAAAACAGCATGGATTAAAAAGCCAACAACGCACCTCACCCCAACATACAGAATTTTCCAAATAATACTATAAAAGCTTACATTCAGTATCCCTGTCTTTTATTTTTGGTCTTATTGCAGTTTTCTTCCATTTTGATTCCTAAATTTCAGATTATTCTATGAGCCAGTCACAACACCGTGTGGACACACATTTTGTTTGAAATGTCTTGAGAGATGCCTAGACCACAATGCGAAATGTCCACTGTGCAAAGATGGTCTTTCACAGGTAAAACATTATTTCTTTTTGGTCGGATTGGCTTATTTGGAATTGAGTACTTAAGAGAGTGTGTTAATGGATCCCAAGCCACTGCACTGTGCTGGGGCAAAATACTCCCTTAGACCATCTACCTCTTTCTCCTGTATTATAGCTACTCCTCTCCTCTCTACTGTTTCCTTCAGAAAAATGAGGCAACATCTAACTTTTTATGAACTGATGGTAATGAAATAAGTTTGTGTTGGAAACAAAAGTATTAAATTGATGATAAACATGGATCCTTGTTCTAATCCGATCGTGGCACCCAATTCACTGTAATGTTGTGTGACTCTTATGTCCTCTCTGGGCTTGGACTTAGACGAGCTCTGATGTCCCTTTATTGTCAAAATTTATACTGTGTGTGTGTTTTTAAAATTCTTTATTTTTTAAAGTTTTACATATGTCTCCTTTTTCCCCCCATTGACCTCTCCCCACCTACTCTTGTCCCTCATATACTGTGATTTGAAGAGATCACTCCTAAGCCTGCAGAAACCTCACAGACCTTCAACATGGTCCTTGTTCTGCCCCTCAGAAGCTACTCTATTAGCAGATCCTTGGCTACTTGAAAAGCTCTGAAGCTTCTAGGTCCTCTAAAATGAATCACACAAATTGTCACCTTGGTTTTTCAAGTTGGCCTGATGGGATTTTCTTTAGCACAAGAACACCCAGGAGTCCATCTTGTTTTCCCTCCCCCAGGGACTTGTATGCCATATTTTACCATCAGCATTAATATTGTTTGACCCCTGTCATCCCTGAGGAGAGAGGGGAGACACAAGACTATCTCTAGGTGAATGTAGGTCCAGAGAAGTCACATGTTGAGCTTCCCCAACACCCCAACTTTTAAATGAAGGGAATAGAGTGAAATAATCACACAGGAAAACCCTGAGGGCGTGATTGGGTTGGGGGAAGGGTCAGCATCATCCTTGCCTAGGTAAAGGGTTGGGATTTGCTGGCCTGATTGTAGGTGAGAAGCCCATGGTCCTTATACTTAAATAATATGTTTGTGTTACAGTAACACTGCAACACTCAGATAAACAGACAAAAGTCTACCATTGTGCTCTTCACCTGAAGAAAACCATTGTTAACGGTTTAGTATGTCCCTTTCCTGGGTTTTTGTTTGAGCATCAGCAGTCACCTCCTTCTTGGTTTGGCTACCTCCTGAGTCATTGCTTTTCCCCAAGACCAGGACTGGGCAAATCAGGTGGTTCTCCTGCAGTCACACAGTAGCAGTGGCTGATGAGGCATCGTGGAGGCAGATGCTGTGGAGTCCCAGACTTAGGGGCTGGAAGATATTATCATCTATCACTTTGTTTTCACACAGGGTCACACTTACACCATTTCCAGAGAGGAGAGATAACTATCTTATTCCAATCATACTCAGTGCAGAATAGACAAACATAGCCTGGGAAAGGAGAAATTGTCTGAAGGTAGCAATTTTATACTCAGGAACTCCCACTGCTGGGCATGTGTGGGTAGCTTCCATAGTGAACAATTCTGGGCAGATGCTTTATTGTCAGGTCCACACAGTTTAATGCCCTCTACTTACAGATGCCTGGATTTGCATGTGATAGGGGTGTTTGGGAGGAGAGTAATAGTGACAATTGAGCCTGAGTTCAGTTCTGAAATCATGGTTTATAACATAACTTCAGTGATAAATAGATGGTATATTTTCTAAAAATCACCAGTATTTAGTTGTGAGGTTTTTTTAAAGATAAAGAACAAAAAAATATTTAGGCTTGAAATATCCAGAAGCCAAACATTGGAATGGGGTGGGGGTGGGGCAGGGCAGGAAAGGATCAATGATTAAAAATTACTCTTTAGTTCCCTGAACCTTTTGACCATAGACATTCAGTATGTCCCAGTTGGAGACTGTTTCTGTGGGCTTGTAAACACAATAATCAGAAAAGGGAAAGGGAATGATTTCTCCCCTCTTTTGACAAGAACATGATCTTGATGTCAGTGTTTTGAGAAAGCAGTGAGATTTTTAAAATATAAACGCAGGCCTTTTCCCCTTGTTAGAATATTTTTCCTAATTATAATAATAATCAATTTCACTAAATTTATTGGGGTAACACTGGTTAATAAAATTATATAGTTTTCAGGTGTACAATTCTATAATACATCATCTATATATTATATTGTGGGTTCACCACCCAAAGTCAAGTCTCCTTCCATCACCATTTATTCCCCCTTTACTCTCTTCTATTTCCCCCACCCCTGCTTCCCCTCTGGTAATCACCATACTGTTGACTTTTCTAACATCCAGAGAATACATACATTATGATAGTATCAGCTGCTAATGTGTGGGCCTAAATTACTTCAATATGTGGGTCATTTGACTATTCTACTGATTGCATAAGAAGTGCTTTGTGTTTTTCTGATGACTGTATAATATCTAATTGCCTCCTTCCTCATATAGTGCTTGGCATCAAGAAAGTACAGCAAAAATATCATAATGGAAGAGCTAATAGCCAAATTCCTTCCAGAAGAACTCAGTGAACGAAAGAGGCTTTATGAAGAGGAAATGGAAGAACTTTCTAAGTATGTATATGCATGTTTCTATTTTAAGTTTTACTCATACCAGCTCATAGAGCTGAGTGCACACTTCATCCTTAACTCCTCATTCAGTGATATCATGTCAGTAGCTTGAAGTTGGCCATGGTGAGAGTATTTGCACCATGGAAATTAGCAAATGCTATAAACCAGGGATTTCCCCACCCCTAGAAAGTCAGTTGTTCAACATTCACCAGTACACTGGTGAAGAAGCATAAGCCAAATCACTGCCAGGTAAGATCTTGGCACTAGTAACTGGTGTCACTGGCAGAAGTAAGTTGAAGTAGCTTAAGTGTCCAGAAGACTGTTTTCAAATACATAAGGAGGTGCTATGAGGTTAAGAACTTCGGTGTCAGCCGGACCTGGGCTTATGATCCAGTTTTTCTACAGAGTAAATGTACTTCATGACTCTAGGCAAGTCACTTCACCTCTCTGGGCCTTAGTTTCCTCATCTGTAGTTCGTGGATGATAGTAGTTCTTACCTCATGGCCTTGTAATGAAGATCGAATGAACTAGTGGCTAGTAAGTACTTTATTAATGGTAATAGTAAGAGAGCTATGTCCTCTGCCATGTACAGGTGTTGAGAGGTGAAAGGTAGGAATGGGGATGCAAATAAGGCTCCAGATTCTCTGCCTGGCTGGAAGAACAGCTCACTTAGTGGGCAAAGCAGGAGGCAATCACTAATTTCTGCCTCTCATACTGCTGCCCTCCCGTCTCGACCCCAGTGGAATCCTAACAACATTCTGGGGGCGAAGTGCCCGGTGGCAAAAACTGTTCTGGATTTATGCCTGCCCTGTAGAGAACCATTTCTAAACTGCCACCAGCTTGTCTGAATGTCCCTCTCACTTTGAACAACATGTTTTCCTGGGAAGCTAGAAATGAAATCTTTTTTTTCCTCATTGACTTATATTACATCTATTCAGGGCATCTTTATCTTTATTTCTGATTCTTAAGTTTGTCTTGAATCTCTCTGAGCCCTCCTCTCAAATATTATTTAATGTCTTATTACAAAAACTGGAATATACTATAGAGAAATATACTAAATTTCTGTTTAAAGGCATCCTATATTTAATTCTTTTGAGATTTGGGCAAATGGTCTTATATCTATTGATAGGTTCAGCTATTCATATATTGGATTGACTAGACAAATAAGAGAACAGGGTCTAGGAGGAGCCGGCCCAGTTGGTGGTACCCCCTCAGGCTCTGTGTCTGAACCTTCTTGGCACTTGTTAAGAGCAAACTCCTGGATCCTGATTCCATAGCTGGTACACCAGAGTCTCTGGGGGCTTTGCAAACTGCTAGTCTGGATATAAGAGCCGTCAGTGATCCTGCTGCACAGGTGTATTTGAGCATCACTAGGCTAAATTACTCCTAACTCCCCATTGCTCCCTCCTCCTCCCAGCTGAACCTGCCATGCAGACTTCTAGGGGCTTTGCAAATTTGAGGTGCTCATGGTGACTCTGTAGAGAATGTCCCACCATTGCTCTGGAGATCTAGGTCCACTTATACCACCAGTACCCTTTCCCATACTGCCAGCAAGACACCTGGAGAGATTGTTGAGTGGACAGCATGAAAGAAGAAAAAAATATGAAGTATAACTGTCACCTACCATGTTAATGTACTAGATAGAGAACTTTAGCCAAATTAGGTTGTGCAGAATATCCATTTTTACCTCAGCCCTTAGGCAAGCCCCATCTTGGGACTCAGTCCACAGCATCAGTTGCATTTCAGTATTTTTTATCAGCCATCAAAACTTGATGTTTCTGCCCGACTAGCATGGCTCAGTGGTTGGGCACTGACCTATGAACCAGGAGGTCAAAGTTCAATTCCCAGTCAGGGCACATGTCTGGGTTGTGAGCTCGATCCCCAGTGGGGGTTGTGTAAGAGGTAGCTGATGATTGGTTCTTTCTCATCATTGATGTTTCTATCTTTCTCTCCCTCTCTGAAATCAATAAAAAATATATATTTTAAAAGAACAACAACAAACACTTGATGTTTCCTTGCCTTCCTGTGGAGGAACCACGTGGTGACATGTGACCAGCCTTTCTGTGTTGTACTCCATTGCATTGAGAATCATGTCATTTACTCTTCCTTACAGCTTAAATAAGAATGTGCCTATTTTCGTGTGTACTATGGCCTATCCCACCGTTCCTTGTCCCCTACATATATTTGAGCCTTGCTACCGTCTGATGATTCGTAGATGCATTGAGACAGGCACAAGACAGTTCGGCATGTGCCTTGGAGATCCCGTCAAGGGGTAAGTGAGGAGCTATGTGAGTCAAGGAAGGTGGGTGGAGAAAGCTTTTGGTTTTCCTTTGGGCTTTCCCAGGAGGTTGGGAGGTACAGCTCAGGAGACTTAGCCAGGTCATGACCATAGGCATTTGTAAGGATCAGAGTCCCTCTAGCCTTTAGTTAAGTGAGAGGCTGCCTATTTAAAGGAACCTCAGGATAACTCTTTTGTTAAGTGGGTGGCATATACTATAAAACTTCTTTTGAGGGTGGGCTCTAGAGTCAAAGTGCCTGAGTTCATATTTTGGCTTCAGCCTTGGAACAAGTTTGGCTTTGGACAAGTTACTTAACCTTTTGTGTGACTCAGTTTCCTTATCTGTAAAATGGGTACAATAAGAATGCCTACATCATTGGGTTTGTTAGAATGATTTGTGAGTTAATAATGCACACAAAGCACTGAGCATAGTATCATAGCACATAGAATGTACTCAATAAATACCAGCAGTTGTATTAATACATTAAGGTTTTTTTTTTCACACAGGCACTGCCTGTTGTATAGCTGTGGCTGTAGATCCTGGGACAGGTGAATAGGCAGAAGTCCCTTGAGGCACAGCATGGTGTAGAAATGGCTTGGTGAGGCCAGGGAAACAACTCATGAAGATTTCAGTTTCTTGACTTTATTTCCAATAAACAGGTTTGCAGAATATGGCTGCATTCTAGAGATCAGAAATGTTCAGTTCTTTACCGATGGCCGCTCAGTGATTGACAGTGTAGGCAAGAGGCGCTTCAGGGTCCTTCGTCAGGGCCAGCGGGATGGCTACAACACAGCCGATATTGAATACATTGAAGACCAAAAGGTAAGGGTGGCTAGTGCCAAGAATCCCAAAGCCAGGTTATTCCTGTGGCTTGGCAGATGGAGATGGTTGCAAAAAGATCCCTTAGCATCATTGGGGGCCTTGGGATTTGACATCAAATTGGTGCAGCAAAATTGAATGCTGCCGGGTTGTCATTGGGTTGTAGAGTGGCAGTGAGAGCACTCCTTGTCCTGGCTATCCCTGCTTAGTTGCTTAATTATATTTGTGGATAAGAAATGCCAAGACAGACCAACCCTTGGGCCCATTCCACTAAGAGTTAGGTCTCTGTCAGGGATATCAAAGGATAGACCTGGAGCAGGGTCTACACATGTGTATTGTTTTATCAATTTATTTATATTTTAAAATGTTTTATTTTGAGATAGAGCTTCACACATGCATTTGTAGTTCTAAATGGGAAACCTGGCTAAGAGCTCTTCCCAATAATACATCATTTGCTAAGGCAGCAAGATGACATGTCCAGTTATTCCTTTGTTTTCTGGACTAATGGGCAGAAGAGATAATAAACCTGTGTTTATTTATACTTACAGTCACTATGTAGGACACTTAATAAGTATTTGATCAGTGAAAAAAAATATATTCAACTTGGATGATAAAGTTATAAAGTGAGATACAGGCACATTCATGTCTCTCTTCCCAGTAAGCAATGAGAAAACAGATGTGAAAAATGAAAAGGAGAGAAACATAAGCCAGCATAACCTAGTTTAAGATCACGCCTCCACTCAGGCCAGTTTTCATTTCTGGTTTTCTGTATGTGTTGCTGTTTCAGCCAGTTTACCCAGCCAAATCTTTATTCTTCCTCCACCCTCAGCAGTATTTACACACAGTCCATCATCTGGCTGAGGAGCCTTTCACATACCACACAAGAGAAAGCCAGGTGGGTGGGCCTTCCCATAGGGGGACAGGATGGATGCTCAAAGAGAGTCAGGTACCAATAGTGGCTCTAGGAGTGATGGAGAAGGTACAGAATGTTTCACTTCTGCTTTGATACTTTCAGGTTCTAGGAGAGGATTGTGCTGAACTCATGGGATTACATAACTGTGTCTATGAACAAGCATCATCATGGTTTCATTCGCTCAAAAATTCTCTTAGGAATCGGATAATCAATCACTTTGGTCCAATGCCAGACAAAGATGCGGATCCTCAGGTATATAAATTGTCTTTTTGTAATTGGTTGCCCCCAGCAGATGAGAGAGCCTAGGGTTTGTGATTAGATGGATGTGTGGTTATCTAGCAAATCAAATACAGGGAACGAGATGGATCTAATGTGGTTATGTGTGTCTGGGCATTAGGCATCAGGGGTAAGACCAAAAGGAACCCAGGTGAGAATTCCAGGAACCAAAGTACGTGGATCCAAGACAGGTTTTGACAGATAAGTCAGGTGAGAGATGGGAACACAGACACAATCAGCAGGAGAACCTCGAGTGGGAGTCCAGATTCACACCATGGTAATGTGTTCGGGTGACAAGATTCACATAAAAACCAGGCTTAAGAGAAGGGTGTCCTGGAAGCTGAGACCAAAGGCTGCCACTTCCAGGGAGCTTCATAACTGTCTTACCACCCCCCCCCCCACACACACACACACACTGTTTCAGGAGCTAGGAAATAGGGCCAGGTACCTTAACGGATTCCAACTATAAGTCCACAGAAACTTTTCACTCCTGGGTCTCTCCATGCCTAATCCTGTGGATCTAGACCCTTGTCATTGTCCTCATCAGGAGTGAGCAGAAACCAGAAAATGGACCCAGTAGTTAAATTTACCATTGGCTGAGTTATACTAGAAAGCAGTTCATTGGGTTTTACTGAGTCGGTCTATTTCCTAGGGGAACAGGTCCCCTCTGAGAGATCAAGCTGCAAATGAGAAATTCTCCAGGAAAGTGGAGATGGTTAAGTTTCATCAAGCTTTGCTTGCCTGGTATAAATCAGAGGACAGCCTCTTTCTAGGACAAGACTGGAGCTATCCTAGCCAAATATTTCCCCACAATCACCTTTCCCACATTCTGAACTGGCTCTCGTATATTATCACCTCCTCCAGAACTTTCTGAATTCTTCGCTTACACACATTCCTGACTCTTTCACAATAATAAAATAGAATATGTGTATTCTGACGTCCCTACCAAAAGTCTAGTCCTGCTTACCTCTCTAGCTGTGTGAGCTTGGCTAAGTCCCTTTCCCTTTCTCCACTTTTCTCCCATCTTTGAACTGAGGCAGGTAGATGAAGAGATCTTGAAATTCTCTTCTTTCTCTTGCATTCTGAGGCTTTAAAAAACCAGCCTGTTCCTACTGGGCTGAAATAGCTTGCTCTCTCCAGACCACAAAGGTGACTCCCTTTCCCCATGTAAAAGCATCATGAATGTTGAAGCGAGAAAGGCCAATTAGTGCTTCCCAATAACCCAGCTCTGGGCCACTGTAACTCAGGACTATAGCAGAGCTCTGAGCAAGCTCATGATAGAGCATAATGTCTCCCTTCACCTTCTGGAAAGCATTCTCCCCGGGTCAGGCAGAAGATAGCGATCAGCAATGATAACAGCATCATCTACCAGAAAAAAACAGATGCTACAGAGTGATTCATAAGGACTCAGTAACAGAAAACTGAAATTTGGAGTTTCATTTCCTTTTTTATTAAGACTGTTATCATGTTGCTTTGGCAGCAGCAGCACTAGCAAACAAACAAAAAGCCAAAATTGCATTAAGTTTGATCCAGTCAATGCTACAGCTCCAGTGGTCCCAGTAATAAAAATGTTCTAAGCTTTGGGAGGAGGCTTCTTAGAAACAAACACAGATATTAACGTCAGCTTAAATATCTTTGTTAATTATCCTGGAAAAGAAAGTTCAGAATATGTCCCTCTAATATTCAACACTGATAATAGGAGGGAGAGTATATTACAGACTGCAGTGAGGGACAAAAATGAATCCAAATGGAGACACAGAGAAGCCAAGAGGGCAGTGAGGGTTGGGGCATAATTAAGTGAACCAATTTGGAGGCAGATAATCCCACATGTAGGTAATTTGAACAGAATGTGGTTAGCTACAGTCCTAAAACCAGCCTTCAGAAAATTGGGGGCAGAAAGCTCATTTCGGGCTTAGTAGGATATAAGTCACCATGTCTAAAATGCATGCCTGGGCAGCTGCTGACAAACAGAATTTTGGTGAAGGGCTTGTGTGGGATGGGGGAGGTCTTTAGTGAAAGTAAACCTGGGCAGGATACATTTCTTATGGGAATGTGTTTTCTTTCTTTTATTTTTATTATTATTTGTATTATCTTTCTAGCTTGGGCCATAAATGGATTTAAGAGGCTGCTAGAGTATAGAATTTAATATAGTTGGCACCATTAAATAGTGGCATAGCGAACCCACTTGGGGAAATCCGGACCCCTCCCTCCCCACCACCCCCCTTCCTCACCCCTCTCACCTCCCTCCTGATCCCAA